TTCTTGTTAAAGTTATGTCCAACCCCGTTATTTTAATATTTGATATTTAAATTATAAGTTTTGATAGTTCAGTAGTCCGACCTTTTAATTGAACACAGTCACTGTTAACTATTTCTAAATATTCTCATATGTAAGAACTAGAAACGGTTACAGTATCGAACTGGAGAGCGTGAAATATAACATGATTTTTCATTGATCGACTGAATCATATCTTCCAATTCGTATGCAGTTGTACCATAGGGAAGATTAACAAGTTTTGCAGTGTATGCGTCTCGTTGTTCAAGGATTGTGGGTTGATCAAGAAGAGGAAGGATCTGAATACGATCAGTTCCGAGAAGAGTGGATCATTCTTTTATTGCAGTTTTGGCTGCAACTTCTGTTTCATATTCTACAGTGGTATAGAGCCATTTTGATACGATGCATTATTTGATTTTGATGATTTGTCCAAATTTTGACATTGTAGCTTGTATTTGTTCTTGGGTGGTGCCAATAGGTACAGCACGAAGAGTGACAGTGAGTTCTGGTTTTGTGGTAGAGGGAGGAATAGGACTTGTGGTAGTAATGTGGATTTTGTTGATTTCTGTATTAGTTGCATTATTGAGAGCTTTCATACTCGAAAATTCCAGACAAATATATTTGAGTTTGTCATAAGTGATGGATTTGGATTTGATGAATTCTTGCATTTGATGGAAATATGAATTAACAAATTTGATATTAGCTTTGGTGTCCTTTTCAGGAAGTGCTTGTTCAGCGATCCATGCGCGATATCTTTTTGTACTAGTGACTATTTCCCATTCAGATGATGATGTTTGTTGGTGTTGATTTCTGGGGTACTGGTTTTTGGGATGATGAATGGATGAATGCAAGTTGAATTGATTATTTGCATATTTGTTGTGTAATGTTGAATTTGGTTTAGATGTGTTGAATGTAGGTATTGTTTGATTTTCTATATTAGGCAATGATATTGTGATGATGTTGTTATTGATTTCTGTATCCATATCAGATGTGATGTCATTAGATGTTGTGTATTCTGCCAATTCTGATGTTGTTGACTCATTGTCATCAGAGGAAATTTCCATTTCTGTTGTATGAGTGCGTTTGATTTTTTTTGCCTGGGAGCGCATGAGTGGTTTGCTTGTTTGTGAGTATGGTTTGGATCGGGTGTTGCCTTTTTTGAATTCGGAAAGTGCGTCTGAAGTGTTGCCAGATGTGTTGATAGGGATTTGTCGCTTGGTATTTTCTTGATGAGATGAAATATCTATGGATTCTGTAATGTGACTTAAGATAGAGGAGGGAGAATTAGTAGAGCTGTTATTATTATTTTTTTTGTTAGACATGTTAGTTGTTTGTATTAGATTTTATGAATATAAAGGTGAAATTGATGTATGAAAGAAGAAAGAGAAAAAAAAAGAAAAATAGAAATAGAAATTTATTTTTTATAATTTTATAATTTTCGAATATTTTTAAGAAATTTTTAATTTTTGTATATTTTGCAAAAAGAAACAAATAAAAGAGAAATAAATTTGAAAAGAGAATAGAAATTAGAGTCGAGATGGATTTGTTTGGTGAGTAATTGAAGAAACGAACTTCTTTTCTTAGGGAATGTGAAGTGTTTTCGCACTTTTGAATTTGTTCCTCTCTCTGGTCAAAGGATCGATATGGGAGAGATGCGAAAAAAATCTTTGAAAATTATTATTATTATTATTATTATTATTATTATTTGAGCGAGTATTTCAGTTAAATGATTTTTGATTATTAGATAATTGCTTGACTTGAGCTGTTAAGTTAACAATTATTTTAGTAACATCATCTGTTGCTGAAATTGCAGATGTAGTTGATAATAGAAAATCAAAATTAATAACATGTATTTTCATAATAATAATAATAATATGAAAATAATATAAACTAAAAACAAATAATATGAATCAAAAATAAATAATATGAAATATAAATGATATAAAATATAATAGTATAAAATATAAAAGATATAAGATAAAATAATATGAAATATAATGAAATTAAAATAAAATAATATGAAATCTAAAAGGATTGTAATTTGTAAATTATATATTTACTAACTATCTAATAGAAATATACTATAAATAACATGATATATATTATATTAGGTGCTAAATTTATTACACAGTGACAATATGTTATCTATCTTTAGTTAATTTAGTATTCTCTCTTACTTTAAAAATTATTTACATAAACTCTTTCATTTGACTTAATCTTATATAACTTTATGTATCTTCTCGTGTATTTTTGTGATAAAGTATAAAATTATATAAAATGATAACAAAATTTGGTGCTCTCTCTGTGAAAAAGAAAATTCAAAGATATCAAATATAACAAATTGATTAGTAAACAAATTTTCTATAAATAAATTACTCAAATTAATCAAACTAAATTCAATACAATTAATTGATATAAAAATTAATTAATTATTTAAAAAATTAAAAGACAAAACTGATTTATAAGAAAATCTTATCAAATAATAACTAAAAAAAATTAAAGATTGACTAGCAGAAATATTTATTATAATTCATATAGAAAATTCAATCAACAAATTAATTGAATAACTTAGTGAATTAATATAATATTATTTATTACAAAATGAACAGAAAATTCAATCTTACCTATATTATTTGCAACAAGATATTCAAATTTTTACAATACAGTCAAGTCTATCTATAGTTACATCTATTTATAGTCACACCTCTCTATAATTACTCTATTTTGCTTTTCTATTTATATATAAATATAATAAAAAAATCTCTCTATAGTTACATTCTCTCTATAATTATCAAATTTTGCTTTTCTAAGAATGATAACTATAGAGAGATTTGACTGTACAATAAATAAATTATTGTTAATAACAAATAATTAGCTGAATTACAAAAATCAGATAATTAAATTATAATTTAAAATAATTCACTAATACAAATTATTAAAAAAATCAAGTAATTCAAATAATTAAAGAAGAATAATCAGAATTAATTATGAATAGATAATAATTTAACCAATTAATAATTAGATTAGCAAATTTTACTAATACTATTCAAGCATAAGCTATTGCTATTCCATCAGTAAGAGAAGTATTATTTGTAAAAATTATTGATTTTTATAGAGAAATTCAAGATCCTATTGGATGATTACAAGATTTTAAAACTATATGTCAAGTTAATAATATTACTAATATGAAAAAAAACAAATTATTAATATATATTTGAAAGATACTGCTGGATAGAATTCCAAAAAAAAGTCTAATTCAGTTTGAACTTGAACTGAACTCAAATTTGACCAAAAGTCCAGTTCAAAAATTTGAAGCTAAATTTGAACTTTGAATCTAATTCCAATCTAACTAAAAGTTCAGTTTGAATTCAAGTAAATATTTGTTGATGTTCTAAGTAAAGTTGTATATCTTAATATAAATTACAAATTAATATAAGATAGTTAATATTTAGAATAAATATTTAAGAAGTTATATGAATTTAAAAAATAATTTTAATTATTATAATTTTAATTTTAATATAATAAATATTTATTTTGCTATAATAATTATAAACTATAATTATAATTAAAGTTATAAAAACTACAAATTGATATAAAATAATTATTATTAATAATAATTATTCAAAGAGTTACATAGCATTTATAATCAAATTTAATAAATATAAAAATAAAAATACTTTAATTATCACTATGTAAACTTTCAATTCTTACTAAATACTATAAATTGTGCTTATAAGTAAATTTGTAGCTTATATTTAGAGCTACAAATCTGTATTTGATATATGCTAATCTTTAATCAAACTCGAACCAAACTCGAACTCATATAATGATTTAGTTTGAGTTCAGTTTGAACTTTGAATCTTTTTTGAACTCAAGTCAAAGTCTGGTTTGAGTTCAGTTCAAATTTTGAACTGAACTCAAATCCAGACAAAAGTCTGGTTCAGTTCAGTTTATAGGAACATTACTGCTGGAACATGACTCACCAATAAAAGAGTAACTATAGCAAACTGACCAACACAATGAAATCCAAATACTCCAAATGATGTAAATGATCCAAGATTTATTATATATTTTTATTATTTATTAGTTAATAACTTATATTATAACTAGTTTGGCATAACAAATATTATTCATTTATTTATAATTCATAATTACATTCTAAAAACTCACTTGTAATATCACTAATACTATTATATATTTAGAATTTTCAAATATGATTTATAGACAAGTAAGATATTAATTGTTTGTTTATTAATTCAATTATATAATGACTTTGCAATTAAGATGAGAGGTCAAATACAAGAAATATAATTTCGCAATTAAGATAAGAGGTTATAAGATTATATAAAAATACTAATTATTCTAGTCAATAAGATTAATTTAAAAATAATGGAAAATATCGAATCATAACAATACTTTTTTTAGGCACCACTAATATCAAGACTAAGTATGGCATCATCAAACGACATTGCGTCTATCAACTCTAAATTTATATATTCGATCAGCATCCACCATTGAACACTCAGCAAAACAAGCATACCGAAAACTCAGTCATTCGTGAAAACAGTAATACTGATTCAAGTATGGAACACGCCGAAAATGCCTCTGAAAATGGTAATAATGAAATTAAAAACCAAAAAATATACCTTTCATAATTTCTAACATTTTATCGCTTATTTTCAGTCCAAGACGATGGCTCAGACATAGGGCAATATTCAAGTTCCGAATCGTCAAGGCCACGCAGAGTATCTCGTCCTGTCCCAAGACTAATAGAAGAGATTAGAAACATAAAAAAGAAAAAGAAAAAAACTATTTTGGATGTCCCAAAGGTAATTTCTCTTTCATGTTGAGGCTTAAATTGCTCTTAAGTGTCGCAAAAAACAAAATTCTATGAGATTCGTTTATCATACCTATTTTCGCGTTTCACCACATCATGAATTATTAGGGGAGCGGAACACCATTGGGTCGGATAAATACGTGTAATCAAATTTATGAGTATATTAAGAGTGTATAGTGTATATTCTAGGACACTGGCTATTTTTTAGATGGGTGGGAGCGACTCTACACTGAACTTCATATCTCGATTTATATTGGAACAAACATCAAAATATGAGCTGAATCAACGATCAATCAGGTTTTGAGAAGTAGCCAGTGTTCTTATATCCTCATACAACTCATAATTGTTAATGTTCAATTCATTAATATAGTTAATCAGAAGTTAAATAATCGTGAGCGTAATGATGATATATTAAGGGCACTTCATAAGCTTATCTTTGATATTATTGGCGATAGCGGAGGGATTAAGAAGAGGTTGCGAAGGTTTTCTGGATTCGTGTTTGAAAGTGAAGTGAGTTTATCGGATCACATTTCCATTAATTCATATCACGTTTAGATAAACTTATATATCATTTTGATTTTATTGAATTTAGGAGGAAGAGAAATATGCGTTGCTAAACCTTGAATTATGGACCTCCGAAGATATTAGAGAATGTCTTTCATTGTTTGATGTAAAAACAACGGGCGATAAGGTCTTTTTACAAGATAATTAACAGGGAAATACTTTTTTTCTTGAATTTATTCAATTTTATCTCACATTATTTGTCTAGGATGCACTTGTTGAACGCATGTTTAACTTTCTAAAAAAACCATATGATGTAAACACGAAAAGAGGTCGTCCTCGGAAACTTCACAAAAAAATAACGGTAATTGAACCAACTCCAATGCAACCGGAATCTTTTACCATTCCTATTCCTCAATCATTTGATACTATTCGTCGAGCACCGCGTCATAAATCGCCACTACAAATATTTTTCACACATCAAAGACCCATATACAAATCAAGAAAATGTAATAAAAACGCTTCACGAAAAGAAATCGAGCAACAGATGGCTGCGGCCTATAACAGATTATCAGTAGAGAAAAAACAAAAGTATATTGATATCGCTGAACATGATAATCACGTAATGGATGAAGCATATTTGAAGTATACGGCTGCTTTGGTTCAGGTGAATTTTCTATATGCTGAGCTCGTGTTTTTTTTTATTTTTTTTTTGTAATCATAATTAATTTGAACTTTTTTAGTCGAGTAGTCGGCAAATATCTTCAGATTCCGCCATTGACGTGAACTCTTATTTGGATAGTGGCGAAGATTCTAGCTATGATATTGATCATATGGAAGAGGATGATGATAATGATCCTAGTTATGAGGATGATAATAGCATGTTAGTAGATCAAAATTTAAATTTACTCACGTAATTCAGTCGATATTTTTAAAAATATTAAACTAACAGCTACTAAAACTTATGAAAATGATAAGCTTAAATGAAGCAAACAATGCAGTAAAGCAAATTTTCTTATATCTGCATAAATATATCGATAATAATAAGTAATCTTTATTCTTAATTTTAGGTTAGGTCAAAATATATCAATAACAAAAGACATCATAGGTCATCTGGTCGATGGGACTGGAATCCACACTACCAATGAGAGACTTAATAATGAATCAATTAATAATAATACGAATCAAATGCAGATTCAAGACATTATAAATAATGACTCGCTTCAAGTGGATGAATATCCTCAAATGCCAGATGAGATAATTGATAGGAATAATCCTAATGAAGAAGAGAATACTCAAAGTCTCGAAATATTAGATAATGGGTTAACAGAAATGGAGGAAACTTCAGCTGAAACAGACATTAATAATAACATGAAACAAGAGATCTATGAGGGCATGTCTCAAGCGGGTGAAAGTCCTCGAATTGTAACTGAAATAGTCAATGATAATATGGATGAAAGTTTCGAACCTTTATATGTTCCAGCTAATGCTGTCAATTATATCAATAATGGCTTGTCACAAGTGGATGAGGTTCTCCGAATCCCAGCTGAATTAGTTAATAATAATGAAGTTCTCGAAATACTTAATGATAGATTAAGAGAGCTGGATAAAACTCGAGCTCAAGAAACATATAATATTAATATGAATCAAATGAATGACCAAAATCTCGAAATACAACTATCAACTGAAACAGATATTGGCCGCAACACCGATCAAGTTAATACTCAGAATCTTGAACTATCAATGACTGCAATAGCTCGAACGGGTGAGATTCAGATTTCAGAAGAGATAAAAAATGATCACAGTGGTCAACTAAATATTCAGGGTTTCGAACTTTTATCGTACGCAGATCATGAAACTCGAGTTCAACCAGAATCAATCGATAACAGCACAGATCAAGTCACCAATAATAATTTGGGACTATTGATTAATGCACTTTCGCACTTGGACAATGACATTCGAGTTCCAGCCAAATCATCAACTGATAATGACACGGGTCAAGTGAATGATCACAATCTCGCAATATCAAATAATATTTCGTCACAAGTAAATCATACTCAAATTCCAATAAGCGCATTATTGAATTCAGATGATAGTGATGTTTTAGTATCTACAATTCGAGAGAAGTTTCATCAAATTCCCGACCAATCAATTAACAAGTTTCACGAAACTCGGATTCCTGTAAGCATTTTATGTAACGAAGACGATACAGCGATTCCTTTAATTCATGAATTTCAAAGTTATCAACCAATCACGAACAATGTACCCCTTGTCATGCCACAAGTATCGCAAGAGATGTCATCTTACTATATATATGGCATTGACGATCGATCCCAACCCTCCGAAATCATCAAATATTCTTCTCAAGTTAATGTTGAAGAGTCTAATAATAGTAACGTCAATGGCAGAGGAGAGAAAAGAAAATTCATTGATGAATGTGATTTCTTATGATGAAGTAACTTGTATAATAAATTTTTGTAATTTTGCGGTTCTATACTATCATCGTTATGTATCGTTATGTTTGCTGACTTAAGAATGTTGGACTAGGTAACACTAAATTTACTAGTTCAATAAAAACGCGGTGTCATGCGCACATAAATGATTATTCTTTTAATCTGGGGCAAACCATATTTAGAATACCTAACCACGTGAACAAACGATTTATTAGGTGAAAAGCGCGCGCGCGACGCGTTTTTTTGTTATTAATAAGAAAAGATTGTAAACAATTTTCGTAACACAAAAGTACGAGAATCAATTATATAAATGGTACCACTTTTGTACGTTCTGTATCCAGACACTTAATTTCAATACTACCACAATTACTATTATTTCGACCACCTTTGACACTTATTAACTATTATATCTGCAAAAAACATCAATTGTCGCGTTTCTTATATAAAATGGCCAAAGAAAAGACTACTAAAATATCGTCAAAATCCGGCGCTAGTAGGTTTCTTTTGACGAAATTGTCATTGAATATGAAGTGTGACTTTTTAACGTACTTTGTGAATGTTAAATTATAGCAAGAAAACCAAGTCCTTATAATATGTACATGAAAAGCGAACTTCCAAAAGTCAAGGCAGATAATCCTGGTCTAGACCATAAACAAGCCTTCAAAATGGCTGCTGCACGATGGAAGGACTCGTAAGTTTTATTTCTTTAACAAATTATTATTTCTTAAATTTAACAAATTTTATATATTAGACCCGAAAATCCTAAAAATCAAGTAGCCGCTAAATAATACAGACAATTACCGCACATCTAACTACTCAAAACGACAATTCCATTAATTTTCATGATTTCGTTAAGCGACCGAAATAACTTTTAATATGAACACTAATTTGATTCCTCTTATTTTTCTTAGTTTTTTCAATTATTGTATATCATAATACTAATAATAATATATTCGAATGGTCATTTTGATGTAACGAACTTTAATGAATTATAATTAAAACCTACGAATTTTGCAATAACTTAGTAATTTGTTACATGGAATATAAATATAAATCTAATGAATATTTCAAAAAATTTTACTAATAGACCCTAACTCTTCGTTATATCAAGATTCACTGTGTATATGATAATGTGTCTAATTTTTATTCTTTCCAAAAAATCATTGTACAAATAACTCTGGAGTTTCATTCTCCACTAATAATGCAGTCTTTTTCACATTTTCGTCCCATTCTTGCAAACGTTGTCTCATACCATCGATCTGGTCAAGTCCCAGTACACGTGGTTGTACCCAGGTAACTACCACAACCTCACTGACTTGATCTATCGATCCTTTTAAAAGTTTCAGTGAAAGAGCTTTCATTACAAGATATTCAACCTATTTGATTTCATTTAAAGTGATATAAATAATAATCCTTATTTTTTGGAAAATCAATCTATTTTTCTTACCTCGTCAACACGTAATTTTGTTTCAGCTGCGATATCTCCAAAAGGGATAGTTCGATTATCAGAACTTCTTTTGAAGACTGCTTCAATCAATGACATTAAACAGATTTTTTGTCGCAAAAAGTCAATACTTTCCTGTAATAGCGGCTATTTGGATATTATTGTTTATATAAGAATATATATATATATAATATATAACATAATCAATAATATATAAACTATCATACTTGTTTAAAGAAATGCGGTTGCAAAGCCTCGAATTTTCCAATATTACCCTTATTGAATTCAAACAAAAGATTTTTTAGCCACTCATGTGGAGTATTCGTCAGAGATTCTAAAATTGGATGCATTAACTTTAAAAATAAGAAATAAATTTTGATTTCAATATTAAATATATATTTGCAAACAACTAAAAAAGACAGTAAATATTTTACCAATTCACCAAAATTATAGATTGTATCTCCTAAAAGTGCACTTATTGCTAAATCATAAGCTCTTTCCACTTTATCATCCGTTGTTAAGGTTTCAAGATTAATGCATGCCAAATACAGTAAAGCATTTTTATAATACTCTGCATATTCAGCTTTAGCCTATATTAATTTAATTTTTAATATTTATGAATAATATGAAATTGTTGTCGATCCTCACGAGAGTATAAATTATTTACCTTATAAAAATCCGCACACACACGATAGAAACTCGCGTGAATAACAGTCTCGACAGAATCAAAAGTATCCAATATTTTTTCGCATTGATCCATCGCCGATTTTGTCCCCTCTAAATCACGTAACAACAATTTAAAGTAAGCTGTTTCCATCACGGCGTGCACAAAAGCATCTTGAGTTTGCGGTGTGTCCACTTTTTCGACAAGCGAAGTGAGGAAAGCCAACGCGGCATTATAATCTGAAAGTAGTAGTAGTAAATGGGAAAATGGAAAATCGTATGTCCTTAATTTGATTCAAACGTAAAGAAATTCGATTAATGTGATCAAGACCAATTATTCAATGAAAATCTTTGTACGATCCTTTTTTTTTGTTAATTCTATCGATCTAATAATAAGATCGATATTTGTATAATATGGAGCTATAAATTTTATCTCTTATGTAAAAATTAAGCAAGCAATCATAATTTCAAACTGACCAGTATATTGTTTCGCTGCACTTAATCCTAAAGTAACAAGTTTTAATTTGTTCATTTTACTCTCCCAATCAGAAATGAAGTGTTGAAAAAGAGTTATTTGAAAAGGTCCAGAAGCAGAATTCTCAAAAAATTCTGTAATTTTTAGTGTCAATTGATGCCAAAGTCTAATAAGATAAAAAGAAATTAACGGAAATAGTTTATTATCTTTTGTATAATAATCAAGTAAAAGATACTTTCTTCCTTTCGTAAAGGTCTTCAAATATACTAAAATATTCTTGCAATTCAGGCGGAGCATGTGCTTGCAGTCCATTCAAAATCTGAATAGGGTTTTGATCCAAATCCATATCACCAAACATTTTAGTAGTAAAAGTATGAAATGTCGAAGTCCGAAAATTTTAATATTCCAATTGATGATGTCATCTGATAACGAAATTTATATGCACATATGCACGCAAGAAATCTGTGCCAGGTTTTGTCGATCATAGACTAGTAACCAATAAGAATGCGAAATTTTTTGATCAGCATCCGACACAAGAAAAGAAAAAATACAAGAACGGCGAAAAATACGAGAAACAAGTGCCTAAATATAGCTTGGAGTACTAATTAAAAACGTTGGGGAGACAATTTTATGTATAACTTGTACTCAACTTGAACCCTAATCCTAAAACCAATATTTTAATGTTAATTAATATTACAGTAGAATTTTCCGAGATTAACAAAACCTGGCACAGATTTCTGATGTGCTGCACATGCATTTTTACTCCATCCAAATAATGTTCTCGCGTTCCTTTCGTTCCTTTCCAATTCGTTCTCTACTAACCTCCGGTGGCGTCAACAATACCTTCTTTCTTCCACGGTTGACTTTAACGACAGCAAGCATTACAGCTACAAATGAAAATAGTAGTAGCAATAATGATAACAAAGGAGCTGTAACAACTACTGAAACTTCCAAACAAGTAATACCCGCAGATATTATCTCTGGTGCGCCAGAAGAACTTCGGTATCGTTCTGTGCGCATATATAGACCAAGTAGAACTGCAATGCAGTCTGGGACACATAATACAAAACATTGGCGAATAGATTTTGATATCTTGGAGGGTAATGGCCGGTGGGAAAATCCATTAATGGGTTGGGCTAGCAGGTAAAGAGAAAAATCTTGAGATAAATTTTTTATCGTTTTTTTTGATTATGCTTTCATTTTAGTGCTGATGCCGTGCAAGCTTTGCAAATTAAATTTGCCACCAAAGAGGATGCGATAAACTTCGCAGAAAGACAAGGTACAAATTATTTGTGTCAACTACTAATTCTTTTACGATCAAAAATATACTAATTAACCGACCCTTTAATAAAGGTTGGGATTATTTCGTGCAAGAGCCAAAAGAATCTGTATTTCATGTAAAGGCATATGCTGATAATTATAAATATTCGCCTGGAAAGTTGCGGCTAATAAAGACAAAATAAACTTTTTTTGCGAATAAAAGTTCGCATTTTTCTTTTCGACTTTAGTTGTCTCATTAGTTAGCCATTTGTTTTTATTTGCTCGAGTATTCAATGATTTATATACTTAATATTAACACAATGAAGACAATAAAATAATTCCTATTTATTGTCTCAATTATTTTTACATAATTTAAAAGTTTGTTACTTTTTCCAAAACTTTTTGGGTCATTGAGTCACGTGGAGCTCTACGTCCAGTCCAAAGTTCAAATTGCCAGATACCTTGTTCAATCAACACTTGAACACCTTCCACGCCAATCCATCCATGTTCGTGTTCAGCTTTTTCCAATAATCGAGTACGGCGTGGTTTGTAAGGCAACTCGACCACAATTCCATGTTTACCAAATGCAAATATTTCATTGGGAAATTCAAGATCATTCTCCGCGGGAATTGTCGATACAATTATTTGGGGTGATGTCAATAAACGATCCGAGAGTGACTGAATTGCGGTCAATCCATAACTCGACGGGAATTCTGATATCAAGTCGGTGGCCTTTTTGTGGGTACGATTATAAAGATATATTTTAGGGATGCCAAGCTTATGTATTGCGTAAATAGCTGCTCGTGATGTTCCTCCGGCCCCAATTATCAAAGCTGATGATTTTGAGTCAATGGGAGACGTGTTTTTGTCATTGATTCTTTTAATACAAAAAAATATACCCAACCAATCAGTGTTTTCACCATAAAGTATTCTTTTTTTTGTCGAAGCACTGGTCTCTTTATCTAATTCTTTCACAATAATCGTGTTAACAGCGCCAATTATTTTTACATGTTCACTTAATTCATCCAATAATGGAATAACATCAACTTTATATGGTATGGTAACACTTGCACCACCAAATTCCGAATCTTCAATTACTGGCTTAACATCAACAATGTTCTCAGTTTCGAACAAATTATAATGATATGGAAAACCAAACATCTCAAATCCCGTATTATGAAGTGTCGGAGACAATGAATGAGATATCGGCGTTCCAAAAATATAAAATTTTTTCTTGGGTAAAAGTCCGATTAAGTGAAGGCCTTCATGTATCTCGGCAATTGATAATTGACCGGGTGCTGCTTTTGTCGGTAGAACGGGATGAGTTACAGGGGTGAATGCTTTATTTAGAATACGAGAAAGTTGTCCTTTTGCACCCATGTTAATTGCAATTATTGGTTTCTTTTGATTGTTCTGTTCGCGAGATTGAACAAATTCTACTAGTTGAAAGTTATCGGAAATTGCGTTTGCAATACCGATAAGTTTTATGACATCACCGTATTTATCGGCAAGTCTATATTTTTCTTTGATATCATTTCCATTCCATTTCATCTTACCAATTCGATCATGCCAAGAAGCAATTGTTTTACTATTTGCTTTTAATCTCAGCAAATTTTCAATCTTTTGTGATGATGATGTAATTTCTACGTCGATATATTCACATCCCCATTTTATCGCGTGCTGCAACAACTCAAACATCTTGTCTTCAGCATTGTTCGGGAACTTTCCGCCTTGTTCAATTGAGCGAACTGTGAATATAATTGGAAGCGCAGAATATCTTCTTAACAGTGCCAATTGTTGACCGACATATATAAGAGATGATGAAGAAAGTAAATCAATTCTTATTTCGATGCCATCTGCACCATTAGTAAGTACTTCAATTTTTGGTAGTGCAGATCTAACATCAGGAAAAGTCAACGAGACGAAAAATGTTTTTTCAATTTTGTCAAAATCCACGTGGTTAGTTTCTTTGCCTGTAATGAAATTTAAGAATCGGAAAAAATCTCTTTTTACTTTAAGCCATTCCGCATCAAAATCTTTTTGATTATCATTATTGACGTTGTTGATAGTACTACCATCAATAACCTGCTCATTTTGATACGCGACTGTTGTATTTGTAGCAACAACAAATTCGTAATTAGCGCATTGTCGATACCATTGTTCACGTCTTTTCCATGCATCACGTACTGTTTCCCCATAAACAGGTCGGGTTTTATCTTGTCCAAGGTATTTTTCCACTTCATCGATATCCCTTACTAGATGCACGACTATTCCATTCTTTTCATTTATATATTTTTGTAGAATTTCACGTGAGTTTTCAGTTTCTATAATTCCACCTCCGCAAGAAATAATATATCCAAAACCATTATTTTCTAATAACGATGAAAGTAGTTCTGTTTCTTTTGCACGAAATGCTTCCCATCCTTCTTTTTCTACAAATTCGGTGAGCGCAATTTTGAATGTTGTCTCAAAATGATGATCCATATCAATAAATTGACGATTCAATGTTTTCGCCGCAACTTTTCCTAGTATCGTTTTTCCTGCTCCACGCATTCCAATCAATAATATCGAAGATTCCTTATTATTATTATTATTATCATCCTTATGATCTTCTTGCTCTGTTGAAGGTCCGAGATCAATTCCTTGTAGTTTAATGCCTAATTCTCTTTCAAGAGCATCCCACCAACTTGGCCAAGTTTTTTCTACGCATTTCTTCTCGCGAATAACTGTTCCACCAGGCACAACACAACTAAGCACACTAAAACTCATCGCAATTCTATGATCATCATAACATTTAACTCCTTCAATTGGTGCTTTAAGTGATTGAATTGGTTTCCCGTGAATTTCAAGTCCATCCGGTAATTCAAAAGCTTCAATTCCAAATTTTGATAATTCATGAACCATCGCAGCAATGCGATTACATTCTTTAAGTCGTTGATTCGCAACTCCGACAATACGTGTAATATTATCTCCAGTCTTTGTGTTTTTGGTGGCAACAGCCGCAAGAACAGAAGCTGTCAAGAATGCATCTGTCATACTTTCCATATCGATTTCAGGTAATGATTGTAAAGTTCCGAGCGGAGGTCCTTGAACAGTTGTACTTATGGAAGTTTGTGATACTTTACATCCCATCGTAACGAGAACTTTTACGGCGAATTCTGAGTCACCTTGAAGAGAATTGGAGCCAATATTCGTAATAGTACAAGTAGTACCTGTTATAGCAGCGATAGCAAGTGGATAAGTGGCTGAACTGGCGTCTGATTCAATAATATAAACTTCTGGATTCTTGTATCGCCCTCGTTGAATTCGATACACGTCACCTTCAAGTCTATCAACTTGAATTCCGAAAGAACTCATCATTGCTATTGTCATGTCAATGTATTGTTGAGAGATTACTTCTCCTCCAGTTAATGTCAATATGACAGTTTGACTTGCATGTGGTGCACACATTAGGATTGAAGAGACATACTGAGATGAAACGGAGGCTGCTAAATTAATTGATCCACCTCGAAATCTTCCAATTGAAGGTTTAATCTCTAATGGAAGTGAGCCTTCTTTCTCTAAATAATGTATTTCCGAACCATTTTCCAAAAGAGTTGTCACAAGTGGTGCAATTGGACGTTGTTTCATTCTATCATTCCCTGTTAGAATTGTAGCCGTTTTTGTCTCGGTGATACTTTTATGATCTACAAGTGTGCACACTGTAGTCACAAATCTTGATGCCGTTCCTGCATTTCCAAGATAAATTTCACTATCAGGTACTTTGATTCCTTCACCACCACCACCAATCACTACCAACGTATCACCGTTATCTTCCCATTCAAATTGCGCAGCACCAAGTTTTTGTAAAGCTGTCAACATTACTTGAGTATCATCGGAATGTAATAATCCTTTCAATCGACAATTTCCTTCCCCTAATGCGGCAAGAATTAATGCACGATTTGAAATAGATTTTGAACCTAAAGTAGACAATGCAACATTTTGAATAGGAGTGGACGGTATTACTTTTACAGCAGGTGATAGGACCTTATGAATAATCTCATCAGATACTACGGTGGCTTTCTGTTCTAAGGTTTTTCCAATGCCAGTTAACATTACAATTCTTTTCTTATCTCCTTGATTCTTTTTATCGAGCTTCAAAATTTTCATTACTCTATCAACAGAACAATATTTGTTCCCAACTAAATTAATTACTTTTTTCTCCTCCAAAGAAATAGGTAGTCCATAACTTTGTAAACATCGTGTTAATCTACCGACCACCACTTGATTTAAATATCCTAAATTACGTGCAATTTCAGCCTCTTTAACTATCCCAATAGAGATACATTCCCCATGAAGCATTTCAGGTGTAAGGATCGCTTCGATCGCGTGCCCGATTGTGTGTCCAAAATTGAGAAGACCACGAAGACCACCTTCACGTTCGTCATTTGTCACGATGTAAGCTTTGAATTGCGCTGATGCAAGAATTACGGATAAAAGCATTGATTGAGATTCAGTTCGCGTTGCAATTGTAGCTCCTATAAATTCAAATCGAAAAAATAAGTTCAACTATATAATAAAATATAATTGATTAAAAATGATAGTTTTTTGCCTTGATATTGGTCCTTGGTATTCGTTTTATCAGAATTCAAAACTGCTCCTCGAATTGCTTTAACGCCATTTTCTAAATTCACGAAATCTTTTTCGCTATTTACTGCTGCAGTTTTAATTACTTCAGCCATGCCATTGATAAATTCACGTTCGGGTAAAGTCTTGAGAAAACATAAATCAATATAAATCTTTTTTGGCTGCCAAAATGCTCCAATCAGATTTTTCCCATGAGTTACATCAATGGCAGTCTTTCCTCCAATCGAAGAATCAACCATCGCAAGCAATGTAGTAGGAATCTGTACATATGGCACACCACGCATGAAAGTAGCTGCTACAAATCCCACCAAATCTCCAATTACTCCTCCGCCCATTGCGAGAATACAAGTGTCTCGTGTACACGCTTGATCAAAAAGGAAATCCTCAATTTGAGCTTTGATTGCACGCGATTTTGATTGCTCGCCTGGAGGTATTATATAGGTGATTAGTCGTGATGAAACAGTACTGCCAAATGATGATTCGGTAGCAATCGCAGAAAATCGGGCAGTAATTTTCGATAAATAAATTGGAGCAAGATTTTCATCAGTTATTAGAACATAAGTTGACGAGGGAATTTCTCTAATTATTTCCCTAAACATATAATCGGTCAAATGAAAACCAGAGATAATCGATTCGGTGCCTAATATTGATACTTTAACTACATCCGGATCTGGCGGTGGAATCGATGATAAATTCTGCGTTTTAATGGAGCCCATTTCAGTATTTCCCTTGAAAAATTACAAAGAAAAAGTATAATTTTGGGAATATCAACAGCTGGTTCCGATCTATGATCAAGAAAAATTTTCCTTCACGTGACACGTGATGTGGCTATGCAAATCAACATTGGAAAACAGGTGTGAATGAAAAACAATCTTTCAAATATTTAGACTTTGGCCAGCATCAAGAAATTATGCCATAATTCAGGCCTAAGTACGTGACCAATTAATCATGTGATTTATATTTAATTGTTCGCATTCTTTGTTTACTAAATAAGATGATCATTTTATTTTCAACTTTAATCCTAATTTAAATAATAAAATAATCTTTATATATATCAATTTTCGTGTTCACGTGAGCGTGGATTTTTGAAGACCACGTGATCCAGTACTTTCCGTTTTCATTATTGGCTATATTACATAAAATTCATGTTGATTTACTTGAATTATTACTTTGTTAAAATATATTATTCTTGTTATATTTTTAACAAGTAATAACTTCTGCACAATATAATAAAATAATATTGTTATTATTATAAAGTTATGTAAGAGAGAATCTATAACATTATAATAGATTATATAATCAGAATAATTATGATAATATATATTAATAATAATGGATAAGAGAATATAGATAATATAATTAAATATAATATTGTTATATAATGACCTTTTGTCATAATATTTTATTATTGAATTATAAATATCTTATATATTATTGGATAAAGATCATATCACGTGAAGTGAGCAAACAAGCAAGCGAACAAACGAACAAGCGAACAAACGAATAACTAAGCGAATGAGCGAATGAATGAGCGAATAAATATTGAATCAATAGAATTTAAGTGATATAGCATACATGAATTCATATAGCCTAGAAATTATATCTTGGATTTGTATAAAAGCAACATGTATCGTAGTTGTTAGAATTAGATATGAACAAGT